ATGCTTTCTCAAATCTCAGCCAAAGTGTGTTCTCTGTATGTTGATAATGAAATGAGTGTAATTTATTTGCAATCCTAGGAAATAAATAAATAAATAAATAGATAAAAAGCTGCAAGTCACCCCTTCAATCCCTGGCAGCACCAGCTAGTTGACCCGGGCACGTCCGCTCGCAAACACACGCGGCGCTATCTTTGAGATTGTCAATTCCTAATATGTCGCCGGACTTGATTAGGATTCTGAGCTCTCCGGAGTGCGCACCAGAGGTCTCCGGCTGTGGAAAAACATTTTTATAAAATAACCCATTAATGCAGAGGAGTGCAACTAAATTAGTTACCAATTTGCTGAGCATGAATTAATGAAGAGAGCTTCTCCCGGCTCCAACAGTTGTAATTTTCATAATAACCCCGGACCTTTATTTGGCAGGTTGTTTAGTTTTTTCGTTTGAAGGTTTTCATTAGTCTAATGAGGACTGTGCAAGGGCGAGCAGTCAGCACAATTTACATGAGGAAGCTATCATAATAAATGAGGCAATTTGAATAACATGCACAAGTTTATGCAGCGAGATAAGAGCGATTGTAGCTGCAAGATACAGAGGTAACCAATACATTAGAACCAACTAATAACCAAAGTAATTCCAATAAAAGCTTTAAGTGAAGGGAATAAAATTAATGATAGAAATATTGAACTGTAATGATATGATACACGATGCATTAGATTAATAAAATAAATGTGCCGCATTGTTAAAGGAGGGGGGGAAGAGGCCTCGCCGTCCGCAGCTTTGTTTATGGTGAGCTTTTTTAATTAGGCTTGTTCATCGCATCGGTTTGTTTAGATAAATGAGATAACATTCCAGTGGTTTAATGATATCTCTCCACTTGTTTGATCTTTATGATCCTGGCAGAGCATTAAATTAATCTCTCACAATGCACTCTCAGAAGAGAGTTCGGTGGGTGCGGAGGAAGGATGCAGAGCCTCGGCTCATATGGAGACTATTTAAATAGCCAGACACCTCCGAGACAGCCGCTATAATGTCTCATCGCTCATATCCTGTGAGCGCGTCTCTTCTTCTCCATGTCGTCTGTGCTGATGAAGAACAAAGGCTTTTTGTTTTTGAATGAAATAAATATTAAAAAAAAACACAGTTTCTAAACTTGTGTCGCCCAATGTGGAGTAACCAGATGGTGTCGTTTTTGTTTTTTTTTCTTTGAACTCGGGTCCGAGTTATTGCCCAAAATTTGCCAGAAACTGAGATCTAGAGAGCTAAGATGATGTGTGCGAGGAAGGAAGAAAAAAACAAAAAGAAAAGGCGAGCAGACTGCTAAATGTTGCCTCATATGTGACTAATTGAATTGCTTCAAAAAGCAAGTCTGCGGTGATAGCTTCCGACAAGCCTCTGTCTCGTGAAACAGCAGGTAGCTGACAAACAAGGGGAAAATTTGAAAGGTACGGAAGCCTTTTTGGCTGTAAACTCCGTCTTTGGACATCAAACACTCAATATTGTTGGATTTCCTCTGGGAAAATGTGTTTCAGAACACAAGCCATATGCACTGTATGTAAGCTGGGGCGCCGAAGTTTCAGCCACTTTGTTGCGTTTCTGTTCGCAAGGGTAATAAAGGGTAGTAAATACGACTGAACAATTCTTAAAATAAAGTAAGTTTTTTTTTCTTTTTTTTTTTTTTTTGCAGTAGCGTAATCTCACCCTGAAAATATTTTGAAATGTATTCAGTTACAAAAAAAAAACAGACATTAAGTAGTAATTGTGGCAAATTTTTAGTCACCATTGCTGTTAATACAACCACTCAGCTGCTGCAACATTTCACAAGGTGGGAGCGCTGAGCTGAGAGGCCTGACGGGACAACGTTATGTAAGCTGATTCTGTAAACCATATTTTAAAAGCGGATGAATCATTGGTAATATGATATCGGCTCTTCCCTGGTAAATGTTACATATACTTGTTGACACAACAGGAGATGCATCCTTCAAAGCCTGCTGAATGGAAAGCTGCGGCGTGTTATGTCACCTGGAGGCGCATGCTTTCATACCTACCTGCTCTTAGCCTCTGATGCATGATGCGCCGCTGCAACCGCAGTGGACAGCGGTGATTTTTGCCCCTGCCTGTACATGCCCTGCTGATGAGCTTTAATGTTGCCGTTTTCCCAGAATGCAGTTTGTTGGAAGGAGTGCAGCTCTGATTAAAGGACACCGACCGGGCTCGTGCAGAGAAAGGGGTATATGGTTGGAAAAGAAAAGATGACAAAGACTAAAAAAAAAAGAAAGTCAATCTCCTGCCTTTGTAGTCTTTGTTCTGTTCCTTCTTTGCATATGCAGTCACAGGCAGGATCGGAAGGGGTGAGGGGCAGACTTTTGGGGTCCAGGTAAAACTTTCTGCATCAATATTGCAGCGTAAATATTTCCCTGACATTGAGGGGCACCTGCGTACAGTATCATTAAAAGTTCCACGAGTTTCGGCGGGAGCTCCTTCTCTTCATCTTTTCCGACT